TTAAGACTTGGGCTGGAGTGATGGTAGTGAAGATGGAGAGAAATGGATTAGAGACACATTTCTGAGGTAGAGTCAAACTTGGCTTGATAAGGGAAGTTAGGGGGGTTCCCAGACTATTAGCTTAACCTGACTAGGTCACAGAAGTGCTGGTTTATGGAAATGGTAACTATTGTAGGCGAACATAATTGGGGGGGGAGGGAAATCAAGTACTCAACTCTGCACTTGCTCAATTTAAGATGCCTATGCCTCATCGAAATGAGGCAATCAAAAAGGCAAATTGGATACAGACATCTAGATTTTAGGAGAGAATGTCAGCTACAGAAATCTAACTTAAGGTTGCTGTGGAAAAGAAATTACCGCACCAGGCTGAGGTTTGTGGTGGCTGACCCCGGTGGTGCCTCTGACCTCCAGTCCCTGGTTCTACAGACTGTATTCTATAAAAATGCATTCTGTCTATTATTATTCTGAGTGAGGCCCAAGTTACCATGCAGCTGCTCTCCTTTATGAATGGGGGAAAGCCACCCTAAACCTAAAGCCAACAGTTTATTTTAAGCAAAGACACAAAGCTGTACACACAGTAGCCAGATACAGTGGAAAGACCTCTCTGACTTAGGTTACAGTTTTCCACTACAATGGGTTTGATGATTTATCTTTTTATTGGTGACTGGCAAAGCTATGGTGTTTAATCCTTTGAAAAGTACCCCTGTTGTGTGACACTGGCATTCTAGATATCTGTCAATAATCAATCAAAAGCCTGAATTTCTGGATCTGTGCCAGCCAACATTATCATTTTGGCATTGCTATGAAACAGCTAAGCCTTTTAAAGGTGCGCAACCGCAGGTTTCTACAGGAGCACACTGTCCTTATTAGTAGAGCACCACTTGCTGAATGGAAAATGCGATTTTTACATACAAGTACTTGGATATAAGAATGTCATTGGTGTTCAACTGCAGCTGAGCCCTCTCTTCCTGCTGCCCTCATCTCTCCCGTGCACGTCTCTCCCCTACCACTTGCTGTGGGGTTTCCTTCTCCATGAAACAAGGGCCAACCTGCTCACCGTTGCATCCCAGCACACAGTTGGTATTTGTTGAGAAACGAATGAGGAAACATACATAGTTTTCCACCGCCATGTGAACTTTATTTACTTTGCTCAAGGTGATTTGTCCCGGGTCAACATAATAGACTTTTGTCATCCTTTTTGTCTGCCAGCATCTGAACTTCCCCATTTTATAAGCTTGTTGGGAATGAGAGCGAGCCCTTCAGTATAGGAACTGACATCCAGATACTGTCTCTGCTTCTCCATGTGACACTACAGATTACAAACGTTTCCTGCAGTTTGAATAGGTAGCCAGAGACACAGTGAAGTACCCATAGACTAATTCTTTGCTGACCAGGGCAAAGGCAGCAAGATGAAGTTCTTAGAGCAATACCAGCTGCCATGGTGGCCCAGGCTTCTGTGCATGTGGCTCTAGTAATCAATGGTGGCATCAGGGCCTCAGCAGAGATGATGTCCTCACTGCAGCAGGTTGTGTGGAGTGGCCATGTGACAAAGGGTGACATTCCAGCTGTCTAGTATCCAAGCTGATTCTCTAGGCTTCCTGATGATGCAAAACTACCTATAATTCTTTTAAGAAATTAATTTTCTCCTTAAATCTACCTCAGCTAGATTTTGGCATAAGTAAAAAATCTGACTCATATAGTTACATGACAGCAGAGCTGAAGCTCTAACCCAGGACTGTGAACTACTGATTCCAGTGTCCCTTCTCCACATACAGAGCTCTACTCTCCGACCACCCACACTTGCACATTACACGTATCTCTAAGTCACCTTTGTTCACCAAATGTATACTTTTAACATCGGTCGATTAATGAGTATTTCAAGCGACCCAGTGGGACATTGTTTCAAATGCAGCAGTGTCGTTGTCTGTGTAGCCGTTTATGTAAACTTTATTTTTGCATTTGTCTTTTATAGACATAAGTGGAAAATGAAAATACTCATGTGACTGAGAAAGAGGAAAATTATCAGACCTGCTTAAGGTAGATCTTGAGCATCAGTAGAATGATTACTGGACTAAAGCCAACTGCTTTACAAACAACTTAAGGGCATTTCATAAGCGCAAACATTTTATCAGATATTATTTAAAACACAAAGTGATTCTGTAATGTTTTCACAGCTCAGTTTAACAAGTTTGTTCAATTTCTGTAGGTGTGGTTTCTATATAAATCTTTATGAACTTGTACAAAAATAGGCAAAAGGCACCAAGATACGTGTCTGTGATACTGAGTGCGTGCAAACAGCAGGTGAGTAGCAACTGTTCACGTCTCCCTGTGATGGACATACACAGAGCAAGGAAAAGCCCTGATGCTTTATTTCCAATTTATCATTGTAGCCTTAAAAAAGAAAAAATAGGTTAAGGTTGTTCTCGTGTAATGAAATCTGGAAATGCAGTATACACCATAGCCAGCAGATGTCAGAATGGGATCGATCACTTAAGATTGAAGTTTGAAGATGGGGCAGGAGTTGCTGGAGGGACTGAAGGTTTTCTTCTGTGCTCAACTCACCCCAGGCACAATGGCCTTCTTTATTCCTTAAACACATCTGCTTTTACACTTTTTCAAAGGCTCCTCACTCTTTTATCAGGCAAATTCCTAGTCATTCAAATCCTACTCTAATATTACTTCCACAGGGAGCCCTGCCCACTCCCCCTTCAACCCAGCAGGTCAGGGCCTCCCTCCCTGTGCCATGCTCTCGGTTGCCTGTATTTCACTCTTGTAGCAGTTTATGCAATATAATGAAGAAATTACCGATGAAATTATATCATGTCTGACTCCCCTGCTGGACTGTAAGGCTCTTTTTTTTCCTAAGATGAAGTTTTAATATTTTTTTTAGATTTTATTTTTTTAATTTATTTTTAGAGAGGGAAGGGAGGAAGAGAGAGAGAAACATCAACGTGGGGTTGCTGGGGGTCATGGCTTGCAACCCAGGCATATACCCTGACTGGGAATCGAACCTGCGACGCTTTGGTTCACAGCCTGCGCTCAATCCACTGAGCTACACCAGCCAGGGCTGGACTGTAAGACTTTTAAAGGTATGTATCATGACTGAATTCTTCTCTGCCGTACCCCTCACCCACCACAGTACCCGGCCCTCTGCAGTCAGTCACTGAATAATGTTTGTGAAAGTGAACACCTCTACCGAACAGATTGGGAACATTTTTCTGAGGTCTGGACGACAGGTAGTATCTGGAAAGTCAGTATTTTTTCACCTTCAACTCAGCAGTCTTTGTACTCAGCCCCTTCTTTGTAAAGATATTACGTGGGCAAGAAAAATGTGTGAGATTGTACTTGCATTCAAGGAGTTTTCAGTAACCGGGGAAAGAAATGACACAACTTCCCCCATAGTGGCAATCCCTACTACAGAGTATCCATGTGCAGATTCCGGAACAGACTTCCTCCAGTGAAGGGGAGCGGCTTGCACGACCCAGTCCACCTTGGTCACGGTAGCTGAGCTCAAGAAGGAACCTTCCTTCGCTTTCCAAACATTCACCCTATCTGCCTTCTGGGACAATTATTCTTTGACACAACAACACTTTTACTTACTAAAAACAGCTTTCAGACTCCGAACGTAGGTATTCTCAAGACTCAGCACCTTATATATTTTTAAAATTACTTCCTAGTAGCATGGTTTCCAGACTCTTTCAGTGCTCTAACTACCAAACTCTACTCTGGAGAGTTGGCTAGTGGAGCATCTGTCAGACCTGGAGACCTTAATGTTGTCAATATATTACTGCAATCTAAAATTGCTTTCACTTTTTAGTTTTATTTGATTCTTATTTTGAAACTAGTCCAGAATTTCAGAATTGGAAGGGACCTTAAGGTAATTAGTTTACTGGTTAACCAAAGCAGATCCTGGGCCAATTAAATTACTTGGACACTTAAAAAAAAAAAGATTCCTGGACTCCATCCAGCACCATGCTGATCCAGTAGGTCTTTAAATTTTTCCCACATGATTTGGTGTGCAGCTTGTTTTGGAAAGTACCTCTGAACAAGATGCCTGACGCAGCCTTATGCAACAAACGGTGTTCTTTTCCCCATTGTACTCGAACCTCTCCTGTGGCAGGTAGCCCATCACAAAGAAAACTCTGTGCACCAGAAGCCTTCCAACCGTCCCTATGCATGTTAGCCCCACGTACGTCCAGCGTGGGAGAAGAGGAAAAGGAATTCCCAGGATGACGGTGAAGAGAGATCCCAGAACATAGCCATACATAAGGCATAAAAGACTGTGCGTCTAGACTGGGGCGGGTCAGAAAGCCCCAGGAAAAATGTACTCAGTAAGATGAAACAGTGTATCTAATGAAACTGAACACTGTGAGCAATTTAGACAAATAGCAGAAAAGTTTAGTTGACTTAGTGGTAAATTAATAGAAAACTAAGCCTCGGAAAAACAAAAAGATGTATAGGAAATGAACACAAATCTAATGAAATTAAACTAATAAAAACCACACTAATAAATACATTGGCAGAAAGAAGAGATGTGTGAATAACGGAAGAAAAGAGACGTAAGTCCTTACAGATGTGGAGAAGCCAGTAGGCAATGTCCTAAAACAGAAAAATCATATGGAACAATATAGTCGTGCTACTCAGAGGCACGGGGTAAACACCAATACAATTAGCAAAAAAGAGGTGAATGTATTTGCACCACCTCTGGGAAGAAGATTAAAGACTGACCCCTTCCCCAACAAACCTGGAGAACTCTCTGACATGTAAAATACACTGTTTTTGCCTTTGGTGATATTACATATTTCAGCATCAAGCAGAAACAATGCCTTTCACAGAGACTGCTTAACAATAAAACAATGTCACTTTATCAAGATCGGCAAATTCCAAAACAAGATGAACTCAATTTCATGCAGCTGTACTAATCACAAGATTACAGTGGTCTCATCAGCGATTGTTGATTTGCAGCAAAAACCAGGTGAAGAAGAAAAAAAAACACCCAATTTTTCTTAATTGGTACATTTATTAAAAATATAGACGAATGGTCCTGTGCTTAAATGCCGTTGCGGTTGTGTGCTGGCTTCCGTAAACATAACTAATCATGAGGAGCTCTTCAGTGAACGCATTCCAGACAGAAGTAAAAAGGCCAACAGAAATGACTGACAACACAGGGCTACTGCAGACAAAATTCTTATATAATTAATACTTGCTAGAAAATGGAATTTGACATTATTTACAATTATAGCAACATTAATGGAGGCTGAATATCACAGGCATAAGAAATGTCTTTTCATACTTCCCAAATAGTTTTCTATTTTAGCTACGAAGGTCAGTTATCACAACCAAACTTGTTCGTAAGAAGCAGAAGTTTTACGTCCATTCAGTCAAAGAGTCTCTTACATCTTTCTGGGCCTATTCGTTTGCAGGTTCATTTGCAGAGCAGAAACTATAACCAGGTTCTTCGTATCATGCATTCACATGTGCAGTCCAATCTTTATATGCTGTCCAATTTCTTTAAGATAAAAGGAGCTGAAAAGAGAATTTGTTTTGATTAGCTCAAAAGTGACATTATGAAACTCTAAGATTGGGGATAAAACTTCCAGGTTTAGATAAATACATTTTTTGAAAACAACTCCAAGTGGTGGCCAAGCCTCTCCCTGCACAACCCAGCAAAAGGGACACAGTCTTTCCAGGCGGCCTACTCCAGTGTCACGCAGCTGTAACCATCAGAGGTCACTCATACATCACACGAAATCTTTTCTCCAAGTAGTTCTCCCTTAGGGCTGCCAAGAGTAAATCCAAACCTCTCCCAAATGATAATCCTTTACTCTTGTGATTTAACTGTCAAAGGCACAAAACACGAGAAGACACAAATCATTTTTTACCTTTAGAAATGCATTTAAAAGGCAGAGGATGAGAGTGGGGACACAACAATGAACTGGGGAACCAGAAGAGCCAGCACATGTTGTGACCCCCCACTGAGTAGCTACCTATCACCTGTGCCCTCCAGATCACACATGGTACAGCTCTACTTCGATTATAGGGGCTTGTTAGGACGGGGTAGATAAAAATGTCTAGAAAACTAGAAAGTGTTGTCCTAAGTATGGAAAGAAGTGATATTATTGCCCTATGTAAAAGTGCTATGGCCAAAATAAGCCCATGAAGAGATGCTCAAGATCACTTAACATCAGCACAATGCAAATTTAAACTACAAGGAGATACCTACTGGGATGGCTGCTTCCAAAAAAATCTGGTGGCAAGGACATGGAAAAATCAGAACCTTTGTGGTCACTGCCCGTGGGAATGTAAAATGGTACAGATGCTGTGGAACACACTCTCTCTCCTCAAAAAATTAGAGAGAGAGATATTTGTACATCAATGTTCACAGCAGCATTACTCACAGAAGCAACCCAAGAGTCCAAAGATGGCTGGATGGATAAACAAAATATGGTATACAATGGAATATCATTCAGCCCTAAAAAGGAAATTCTGACACCTGCTACAACGTGGATGAGCCTTAGGATATCATGCTAAGTGAAATAAGCCTGTTACATAAAAGACAAATACTGTTCGATTCCACATACAGTTCTGAAGATGGATGATGCTGATAGTTGCACAATATTGTAAATGTATTTAATAAACACTACACTGTACTTTTAAAATGTTAAGATCATAAATTTTATTTTATGTGCATATTACTGTAACTTTAAAAATTAGGGAAAAAAGGAATCACAACAAAAAAGCTGCCATAATCTTTTTCTCACTACTCATACTAAATTAATAAAACATTTCATTAATATCAAACTGAAGATATTGAGATCTGCCAGAAAATGACAAAGTCAGCAGCATGTCCAGCCTTTTCTACTATTTTTTTCTTAAAGATTTTATGTATTTATTTCTAGAGAGGGGATGGGAGGGAGAAACATCCATGTGTGGTTGCCTCTCAAGCGCCCCCTACTGGGGACCTGGCCAGCAACCAGGCATGTGCCCTGAATGAGAATTGAACCAGTGACTGGTTCACAGGCTCGTGCTCAATCCACTGAGCCCCACCAGCCAGAGCTCTAGTAATTCTTATCAGAAAAAAAATCTATCAAATGAATGCATAAACAAAATGTGGTATAACCATATAGTGGATTATTATCCAGTAATGACTAGGAAGGGAATAACAGTCCAAGGAATTAAATAATACATGCTACAATATGGATGAACCTTGAATACATTATGCAAAGTGAAATAAACTGGACACAAAAAGGTTACATATTGCAGATTAGTGGTTGTCTAGGGCTGGGGCAGGGAGAAATGGGGTTTGGCAGCTAAGGACACGAGTTCCTTTCAAAGGGAAAGAAAATGTTCTAAAATAGATTGTGCTGATGGCTGCACAAACTGACTACACTAAGAAGCCACTGAATTGTACACTGTAAAATGGGTTAGTGGCACAATGTGCGAATGGTAACTCAATCTAAAAATGGAAATACAGGACAGTATCCTGTCCTTTTTCAAAAAAACAATTCATATCAAATACAAAGCTCACTGAGAAGCAAATATTTTACTGGCAGCTAAGTCAACAAAACATGGTAAATGGAGGAAACAGGTTGGGAGTTGCTAAAGGCTGTTGAAGAAGTGGGATGATTTGGGAGTTTCTGTTTACCAGGGCTCCCTCTTCCAGGGAAACAGTGTAAGACCACAGGCAGTGAAAGGGGCACCGATTAAGGGAGATCTGCCCTCAGTGAGCTCTGGTCTAGGCCCAACATGAGTTTCTACAGAATGAACTTGGTATGGCCTTTATTTACTTAATCGTCCCTGCCTCTACACTCAGACCTGCAAGCAATACACAAAGAGGAGTAATGAAAAGAGTACTGAACTGAGAACGAGGTGGGGAAAAGTCACTTCTGAGATGCATATCTAAAATTAGCTCTAATATTCAGTGTGCCTGCAACTCATATCTTGAGTAAGTCCCTTTTGAAAGTCAAGTTCAAATTAACAAATGGGATATACAGAATCTTAGGTCCAGCCTCCATCAGAGGGCTACAGTCAAGATCAGGTAATGAAAATATGTTTCTGCCGAACGTAAAACCAAATAAACCCTCGGGTATCATCACACATTGTATGCGGGAAACGTACTTATACGTTTTACGTTGACTGGTAGTAGAGCGCGCGATAAAAACTACCCGCAAACAATGTGATCATTAAACTCCACAGACGCATACTCTTTTCTCACTTTCTCCCGAAAAGCAACTTTAAGTTTACCCACTGTACCAATACAATTTTTTTGGATTACAAAGGTCAGCACTGACGTAAGGAATCGTAGTACTGAGTTAAGAGGTCTGAATTCTAGGCCAAGATCATGCACTACATTGCTCAATGACCTTGAGCCAGCCATGCCTCTACTGCAGATCTCAGTTTCTGCCTGCAAAAGGAGGGAACTGCTCTGGGTTATAACCCTTGTGGGTCTGATTCAAATGCTCTTAAGGCAGGGCGAGGCCGGACGATTAACCACGCAGTCCCCCGCCACCACGTGCAGCTCAGTCTCCCCACTCCGATCCGCAGGCTCTAAGGCGCACATGCGCCCGCTGCCCTTGACGCGCCTGCCCCTGGCTCCCAGCGAGGGCCCGTAGCTCCAGAGCTGGGTGGTCGGTGTCGGCAGGCTCTCTGCTGGTCTCAGGGTTACAGCCTGGAAGGACACTCACTGACTCGCAGCAGGGCCACATAGATGAGGAAGTTCCGTATGGAGGAAATCACATCCTCGCGCATCTTTCGTTTCATCTCCTCAGGGTCCAACTTCGGCGCGAGGCCCTCAATACGAAACATCGCGGCGCCGCCTCAACAGCTTCCAACTTCCCCGCTCTGCTCTCTCCCCAGCAGCCTTGCACCCGGAAGTAGGCTCAACCCCATTTCCGGTCCTGCCCCCCCATATTTGAGCGCCGCAACGGAAGCCTGCAAGGGATAATCCTCATCCTAACCTAGCGGTTTTCAGGAGAGCTGCCGGAAGGGGGCGGCCACGATCTTAGCAGCGCAGGACTAGGTTCCTCCAGGCTGCTTAATAACCTCCGAGTTGAGCTGGGAGCGCTACGCTGTGAAGTACTTTCACTCCCCGGAGGGGGGCGGTGCACACAGGTGCCACCATAAATAGTAATAATGGCTAACATTTACTGAGTACTCAGAACAGCCTTACCCTATAAATTAGATATTATAATCTTCATTTCCTAGATAAGAAAATTGAAGCACAGAAATCTTGAAAACAGCAATTTGCCCAAATGTGCTTTAAAGTACTTAGGCAAAAAAAAAGTTTGAGGAGAGATGAAATGATATTAGCAAAATATTGAAAACTGCTTAAGTCAGTGCTTAGCACATTATTAAAATTATTTTTCCTTTCTATTTTGAGTGTTTAAAATTTTTCGTGAAAAGTTAAAACAAAAAAGTGAAGATGAAACTTGCTCAAGATTCCACACCTAGTAGTTGCAGAGCAGGGTTTTATATCTTAGTTAAGCCTGTGGGACCCCAAAGACAAGAGTTTTGTGTGTTATTAAAAAATTATCTATATAGTTGCTGTAGCCTCATTTCTGGAGTTAACTGATCCTTACAAATTATATTTGTCTAGTAATACAGTATACATAAAGCAAGTTCAAATCTGTTCAACTTTTTACAGATGAGAAGAGGGAGGCTCAGAAACCAAGCGCACTGCTTAAAGTCATCCTGCTAGTGATGGGCAGAGGCGGGGTTCTGATGCAGATAATCATAGTGTCAAGCTGACATCTCTTTCCCCTGCACCCTACTGCTCCTCCGTTAGCCTTTACCAGTTAAAGCCTGCCTGGAGGGGCATCACTGGAGTCAGAAGGTGGGAGTTTAATGCAACCAGACTTCCTGTCACAGAATCATCAAAACAGTACTGCTCCAAACTATGCTTAACGATATATAATTCTTAGGCAGGAACCAGATGACTGAATTGCTCACATAATTCGAAACCAGAATAGAATGTTCCTTTCTTTACTGCACATTGCATAGCAACAATGGATTTCAGAAAAATTAGAATAGTAATTTACCATGGGAGCAACTGATAACTGTAAGAATTGCCACCCACCTTCCTCATTGACAGAATGTAAGACATTGGGGTAAGAAAGGGAACGTGTCTGCGCATTCAAGCTTTAGAAACCTACCACATCTATAATTCATACGGTGGAATAGCAGAGGCAGCTCTGGAATGGGAGGGGCTGACTGCCAAGGAACAGCCTCCATCTAACCCTTGGAGAGTGTTTAGAAAGCCTGCACCAAGGCTGGAAAGCAGCAGGTGCCTTGGAAAGAACCAGGACAGGAAGACTGGAGACATGGCCTGTAGATCTGGCACTGCCACTATCTAGCCACATGACAAGGGACTGCAACTTCATTTCTTTCGTTGTAAAGGAGGAAGATATGATTAAATGTTCTTAGAGTCCCTTTTATTTCTAACCGGGAATGTGATTTGAATTCTAGGACATTCTGGTCTGGAGTGTGCAGATAATCAAAATATTATCAAATGTGGTGAGATATCAAAACAACCAGTGTGTGTGTGTTTTCCATGGTAGGAAGAATGGAACAATAAGGCATATCTCATCCATCGGAATAGTGAGGCAAAATGGTTTGGCAAGGAATGAGTTATGGGATTCCAGGAACCTGGATCTCATATGCTGGCCAAGTTTAGATAAACATTTCTCATACAGAACTATCAGTTTTTTTCTTTTTTAAAATTATACTTTATTGATTATGCTATTAGAGTTGTCCTGATTTTCCCCCTTTGCCCCCCTCCACTCAGCGCTGCCCCCTCTCTCAGGCAATCCTCCCACCATTGTTCATGTCCATGAGTCATGTGCATAAATTCTTTGGCTACTCCATTTCCTATACTGTACTTTACATCCCCATGGCTGTTCTGTAACTTCCTATTTGTACTTCTTAATCCCCTCACCTCTCCCCCCATTCCCCCACCCCACCTTCCCATCGGGCAACCATCAAAACGTTCTCTGTATGCATGATTCTGTCTCTATTTTTCTTGTTTGCCTAGTTTGTTTTTGAGGTTTAATTGTTGATAGATATGTAGTTTTGCCATTTTATTGTTCATAATTTTGATAATCTTTTTCTTAAATAAGTCCCTTTAATGTTTCATATAATAATGGTCTGGCGATAATGAACTCCTTCAGTTTTTTCTTGTCTGGGATGCTCTTTCTCTGCTGTTTGATTCTAAATGATAGCTTTGCTGGGGAGAGCAATCTTGGATGTAGTTCCCTGATTTTTATGACTTTGAATATTTCTTGCCATTCCTTTCTAGCCTGCAAAGTTTCATTTCAGAAGTCAACTGATAGTCTTTTGGTAACTCCCCTGTAGGTAGCTAGCTTCTTTTCTCTTGCTGCTTTCAAGATTCTCTGTTTATCTTTACCCTTTGGTATTTTAATTATGATGTGTCTTGGAGTGAGCCTCTTTGCATCCATCTTGTTTGGGGCTCCCTGTGCTTCCTGGACTCGCATGTCTATTTCCTTTACCAAATTAGGGAAGTTTTCTTTCAGCATTTTTTCAAATAGATTTCCAATTTCTTGTTCTTTCTCTCCTCCTTCTGGCACTCCTATGATGCGAATGTTGGAACTCCTGAAGCTGTCCCAGGGGCTGCTTATACTATCTTCATTTTGGGGCATTCTTTTTTTTTTTCTTGCTGTTCTGCTTGGTTGTTTTTTGGTTCCTTATGTTCCAAATCACTGATTTGATTCTCAGCTTCATCCATCTACTATTGTTTCCCTGTAAATTGTTCTTTATTTCAATTAGTGAATCCTTCATTTCTGACTCTCTTATTTATGCTGCTGAGGTCCCCTATGTTCCTTGAGCATCTTTATAATCAGTGTTTTGAACTCTGCATCTGATAGGTTGCTTATCCCCATTTCATTTATCTCTTTTTCTGGAGTTTTGATCTGTTCTTTTATTTGGGCCATGTTTCTTTGTCTCTTCATTTTGGCAGCCTCCCTGTGTTTGTTTCTATGTATTAGGTAGATCTGCTTTGACTCTGTGTCTTGGTAGTGTGGTCTAATGTAGTGGGTGTCCTGTAGGGTCCAGTGGCACAGCCTCCCCTATCACCCAAGCTTGGTACTCAAGTTGTGCCTCTTGTGTGGGCTGAGTACACCCTCCTCTTGTAGTTGAGTCTTCATTACTGTTGGCAGATCAATGGGAGGGATTTACCCAGGCCAGTCAGCTGCAAGGGTTGGCTGTGACCACTGACCACCAACCTTCACCATCCTTGGAGTATCAGTTGAGTAAGGCAGGTTGGTGGTGTTCTAATGTGGTCTATAGCTGCCTACTGGGTACACTGGCCCTTGGATTTCCTGGGTGGTTCAGGGCAAGTTCAGCCCCCACCTGTGTTTTGCCCTGGGCCACCCTGCCTGAACTACAAAGCAATCTGAGAAGGTTGCTACTTGTGCTGGGTTTGGAGATTCCCAGGCAAAGCCAAGCTGTGAATTTGGGCTGGCTGCTGCTAGTACCAGGCGTGGGGCTCATTGTTGCTTATTTGAGAAAATTTAGGAAGTTGTGTGGTATGAGCCAAGACCAGCTATTCATATGGAAAAGCAGCTTGGGTGGGCCTGTAAGTTAGTGGGGCAGAGTCTCTGGAGATCTCCAAGGTGGGTCAAACAGTGTGAGCTAGGTTGATGGAGTCCTGGCCTGCTGGCTCTCTGGCTCTGTGTTGGGAGGGCTCAGAAAAGGGACAATGGCCTCTGGTTGCCTGGTACCAGACACTTCAGTCTCTCCCAGTATGCCATTGGTGCCCCTCAAGCTGCCATCCCAGTGCTGGAGCTCAGAGGAAATGATCTGAATAGGTGAGTCCATGCATGCATTCTTTAAGAGGAATTGCTTGTGGCTCGAGCAATTTCTCCCACTGACTCAATCCCTTTTTGCAGGCAGAAGTTGTGTGGACTTATCTTCCCGATGCTGGTGGTGGTATTGTCCAATTACAGTTGATTTAAGTGAGACAAATTGAGAGAAAGTACTTTAGGAAGTTAACACTGGAGTGAGCTATTTCATATTTTGGATCCCTCATTTTTTTTTCTCATTGGAATTAAGAGGGGTTGGGCCTAGCCTTTAAAATCTCTTGCAGCTCTAAAACACTGAAATTATGTGTTCATCTTTCCAGTTCTCCGTAACTTTGCACTGAAGGCTAAAAGCAAAGGATTCCCTGTGATTTCTCGTGAAAGGCAAAACTAAAGAGTATGCATGCATAATTTAGTATTGATATTTGTATTATTTAGTCTGATCACAGAAGAAATGGGAGCTGATGTCACAGCCTGTCTTGTTTTCCACTTCAATCCCAAGGGAAGTTTAGGGGCCATTTCTTTTGCCTCGACTTCCCAGACAGCACTGCACACAAACATTCAATGTACACGACCTTCCCATTAGAGAATTAAGTGTTTTCATTTTCATCACTGGGGAGGAATTTGTATTTGCAATGTCACAGATTGACAGATAACTCACAACTGGGAAATAATTTCAACATACAATCACAGGGACCTGCAGGTTCTAATTTATAGGGAGCTATAAGCTTTGGGGATTGAATACTTCAACCCCTTCATTTAATAGATAAGGAAACTGAGGCCAAGAGGAAAGCTAATTAGAGGTAGAGCTGGTTGGCACTAGGGCTCCTCCTTCAGTCCTTTTTCCAATCACAACTTGCAGCTTTCAATACTGACAAATATTTTCATTGATGACCCTCCCCTCAGAGGTGAGAATCAGAATGGGGTGTTGTTCAACCCCATTGTGGGAGGGACAGGATGAAGGGTGGCTGGTACTTGCCAACAGTCAGAGGGCAGCCCTTCTTTCCGTGTTTCCACACCCATCACTAGTAGTTCACCTTGGCTGGGTTATTTTCTAGCTCCACCTTCT